GTGTCTCAATGCGCCTGATCAGCACCAAGCCGTCACCACTCTTGGCCACTGCCTTTGAAATTGTGTCGGCAGCCTCGGCTTCACCCTCTGCCCTGATGACGTTGGCCTGCCTCTCCTGCTCGGCCTTCTCGACAATGAAGCGCGCGCGCTCGGCCTCTTGTTGTGCGATCTGCTTCTCTTCGACGGCCTTGGTGAACTCTTTGCCGAAAGTCATGTGGGTGATGGAGACGTCTTCGAGGGCAATGTTGAACTCGTTGGCGCGCTTGAGCAAGTCGGTGCGAATGCGGTTCGAGACGGCCTCTCGCTGGGTGATGAGCTCGGCGGCATCGAACTGGGCGACGATGGCTTTTAGGACTTCGTTACCGATGGAGGGCAGGACACGCTCGTCGTAGTCGAGACCGAGGTTCTACTAGCGCGTTAGATGCAATTCCTCAAGCTGCCTGCTGCACGAGTGGGGGGTGGCATAGACATACCTGGTAGATCTTAGGCAGCTGCTTGACCTCTGGGCGATGCAGCACCCTCAGTGTGAGTGTGACCATCTGCAAGTCCTTGCTGCCCGTCGTGGTGCTGATGTTCCGCGGCCTCGTCCTGACATCGAAGACAATTGCCCGCTGCAGCCATGGTACCAGAAAGTGGGTGCCCTCGTTGACGACTTGTTCCTTGACTCCCGACAGACGATCGAAGATGACGGCGCGGGTTCCGCCCTTGACGTCGTAGAGGGAGCTCTGCACGACACTGGCGCCGATGGCGGCAGGAACGACCCAGCGGAAGAGGGAGGTGGGTATCGCAGCCATGGTTGGCGAGTTGTGCGGATTTGGTGTGGTGAGGCGGCGGCAGGCAAGATGCGGAGAATCGTGAGAAGTGGATGATGCTTCTACTGGAAATATGGTCCGAGCGTCTGCGGCGAACGATGCCCGTGATTGGCGCAAACACTACCACCACGGATGCACAACGAGAACATGCTGGCGGGTTGAGGCGTCTTCATTGAATAGTTCAGGCTGTTGCATCATATTCTTACTCGACCCTGGTACGTTTCTGCGTATGGGGAAGTCACGGAAGAGGGGCTGTCAGATCAGGGAGGAGGCACTCGGTAGATAAACAAAGAGACTCATATGCGTGTCGAAAAGGATGTATTCATCAACGCCGATGCTGATATGCATATGTGTGGCTTAAAGCCCGTCTACGTACTCCCCGCCTCTTCCATCACCCCCTCCACCACCTCATTCTCATCTGAGCGACAGCTACCAGTACAAGGTCGGCTCACTACTGCTCAATGAAGCCCTTGTGCTCCTTGTGCGCCTTGTACCAGTAGCTGTCCTCCTTCTTCGGCCGGAGCTCCTCTGACAGCTTGTCCAGGATGACCGCCAGAAGCTTCTGACGGCCATCCTCGTTCTCCGCGTCCCGGTTCCAGACGGCGATCTGTACAGCGTTCCAGCGAACGCTGTACGAGATCCCGCAGATGTCGTCGTTGAAGGCTGTTGATGATTAGTTTTGAATACGTGTGAAATGTTGGAGAGGAATGAACTTACAGGCACGCTTGGTCTCGACAGCCCCCTGCAGGACGTCACCAACCGCAAGCAGGCACATCTCGTGCCAGAATTGCGCCGCCACGTCCTTGCTGACCTTGAAGTACCATGCGCCGCCGCGCGTATTCCGCGGGTCTTCCCAGACCGGCTTCACACCCAGGTGGAAGAGGTGTATCGAGTCTCGCAGCTTCAGGTTCTCAACCGGGATGTTGTTGAAGTGCTGGTAGAACTCCTTGACGGAGACGATCTGGTCTCCGAGCGGCTTGGGGCGGGTGAGGTACTCTTCTGAAGCCGCCTTGTCCTTGGGCGCGGCTTGCTGACCCTTCTCTGCCCAGAACATCCACTTGAAGCGGAACTCGGGTACTCGCACCGACTTGAAGATGTTGTTGAGCATGGCGGTGCCGCGTGCAGGCGAGGCCGTGGCCGACTGCTCTTCAGCCGATGCCTTCGGGAGGTCAGAGGTGCTGAGCACCGGGAAGCGACCAGCCATGGCGGGAGATGTGATGGGGATGCCGAGGTTGCTGCTGATGAGCTGGAGTTCCTTGATGTTGGAACGCGCGGTGAAGATGCGCTTGCTGTTTTCAATAGCGAGGTCGTTGGCGAGGTCCTCGGAGGTCTCCTTGGGCTGGACGTTGGGGACGACGAGGATGGTCTCACGGGCAATGGCCTTGTTGAGGGTGACGAGGATGCGATCAGCGGCGGCCTTGGCCTCGTACGTCAGGGGCTCGTTGGAGTAGGGTACGCCGTGCTTGGTCGCGTAGATGAGGTCTTCAAGAAGAGAGACGGAGGTGGACTTGCGGGCAGCTGCTGCAGTCCTGAGCTTCTTGCGGGTCTCGGTGGCCGAGGCAAAGAAAACTTCGCGCTCCTTGAGCTTGGCCTGGTCAGCGTTCTGAGCAGCAGAGGCCCTGAGCATGCCGATGATACGAATGGTCTCGTTCATGGTCATGGTGATGGATGTGAATGCGGTATAGGATAGAGTGATGTAGAGAGGAGAAATGACGACTGAGAGTCTCTGAATAGATATAGAAAGCTGGCGGATGGTGGTTTGCAGATTGTGAAGGCTTGTGAAGAACAGGAGTGTGATGGACGAGAGACAGTCAAGGACGAGCGATTGGAAAGTTTTTATGCTCTCCCAGCCTCCTCATTGCAAAGACAAACAATAGCAAAGAATTCTATTGTGGGCTTCGCTTGAATGACGGTGGTGAAGGTGAACGCTGGAGGTGAAGACGAGTGGACCAACCAGCGCTCAGCGTTGGGCTCGATGAAAACTGATCATGCTGGCACAATAGCAGAACGTGCAAGACGATAGCAGATGCTCAATAGGGAAATATGCAATCATCTGATGCTGATGCTGGATTGGGGCAGATCGATCTTGATAAGATCCATGGATGGGTGCATGTGGACAAGTCTGAGGCCGACTTTCGATCGGGTGGCAAGAAAGAGACGATGAGAACGGAGATGGATGAATTTGTAGAGATTGTAGCGACATGGGAGAATGAGTACATACCTAATGTCTGATACTCAGAACTCTGGCGCAAAGACAGTTGAGCCTTGCACACGGTTGGTGAATACTGATGAAAGTCTGAAGCGGGGCAGCGACACACCGACTCTTGCAGACAGCGTCACAAAAGCTATGAGAACAGGTAGAGAGGAAGATCACAGCAGCGAGACTGTAAAGATTGACGAGAAGGGGTGAGGTCGGATATGTACGAGGCCAGCTGGAGCTTTAAGAGGCTTAACCCCTCGGACAGCACAAGTCAGCCATGCAGGCGCCCGCTCTAACTACGTTTCAAGACGCCGTTTCACGACCCCTGCTGACACCAACGAGTCGCTTCTGCCTCAGGCCAATCTGCAGCCGCACGCCTTGGACTGTGGAGCATCTGACGGGATATCCCATTATTATACATGTACTTGAACATGTCATGTGTGCATATGTGGTTGGCATTGGCTGTCGGCGCCATGTGCTGGAGAGGGCGGTGACGTAGCCAAGGGTCTTCTCCGGCTCGCTACCCTGGCGCGAGATCTGCACCCGTCTGCGCGAAACTTTGAATCTTGCCCAACTTTTTCCCCAGACTTTTGTAACCCACTTCCAAACGCGTAGACGTCCTTAACCGTCTCTCCTAAGATTACCCATATCGAACACCACGGAGGAATTATGTCGCCATACGTCCACGAAGCCGTCGCGCACCGCAGCAAACGCGTGCGCTTCTCCAACGAGCCTGAGTCCTCGCCGCCCTCGATATCCTCTGACCCCGCCCTCGCGTCGACAAACGCTGCAGACGATTCTACCACGAATGCAAGCGACTTTGGCACCTCGGATAGCGACAGCGAACTGTCCGAATCGAGCGAAGAACCCAGCAGCGACGAGAGCTCAAGCGAGGAGGAAGACGACGATGGCGAGGACACAGAGATGGAGCTTGAAGAGCCACAATCACAAGACGGCGTCGTAAACCTCCGCGCCAATAGAGGCACGAAGCCAATTATGAAGTTGGGCAACGAAGATCTAGGACCAGACATTCGCGGCTTCCTCAAAGACTTTCTGCCGCAGTTGAAGGCTGCAAATGAGGAACTGGAGGCGCAGAAGAAGGCCGGGACGCTGAAGAGTCTGGAATCTGTAGAGGGACAGGACGAGGGCGAGCCGTATATTGAGATGGTGAGTAATGGATCTTGGAGGTATCGTAGGGCGCTGCTGACAGTGTCTAGGACCTTGGACTAGGTGTTCTCGAAGAAAAAGACCCGAACGCGGATAGCGACAAGGACAGCGCGAGCGATGCGGAAGACAGCGATAAGGAAAAGGATGTGTTGGGCAAGCTGATGGGGCGCGAGAAGAGAGATCCTGCGAGCATCGAGGTCGTGCAAAACACAACAGAGTCAACATGAGATGCTGGCCAAGATGATTGCCGTCATTACGGGCGCCTTCAGAAACGGACTGAGCTACGGATACGACAGTGTTTGTGCGCGATCCGCATGCTCATACTGAGGCCTTCACCTATCCAGCCACTGGTTCGCCTGTCAAAGGCCTGATGTGTGAAGAGCGAACGAGATTCGGTATAACCCCTCACCTGTGGCTCTGTGCGGAAGCTAATGTAGCATAAGGATCACGCAACCTTCCGGTATGCTCTTCAATGTACAATGTAGACATTGCAGATATGGGACCTGGGCTCGGAGTTCAACGACTGGATATCAATATCACGCATACACAATCACATACTGCAAGCACGCAATGCTTCGTCCTGTGAAGAACCCACGATGCATTGGTGGCTATAAGTAGCCGCCCCAGCACTTACACTTACCCTTCCTTAGACCTCACAGACAACGCATACACACACTACCATTTACAGCATCATTCGACTATATCGACAACAAACTTGATCATTATTCCAGCTCCACGAGACACGACTACGCTCAACGACCGTATCTGTCCCTCGTCAAACACAGTTGGGCCCAAGCCTCTTTTCTGTACCATCGGCCATTATGAGTGGAGTACCAGGTAGGGGTAGGGGTAGGGGTTCTGGAGACAAGGATGATGAGAAGAAAAAGGCCGATGAGAAGAAAAAGGCTGATGAGAAGAAAAAGGCTGATGAGAAGAAAAAGGCTGATGAGAAGAAAAAGGCTGATGAGAAGAAAAAGGCTGATGAGAAGAAAAAGGCTGATGAGCAACACCGCAAGGAAGCGGAGCAAGGGCAAAGACCGATTCCTCAGGGGAATTTTGCGGTGACATCCTCTGGGAAGTTTGGAGCACCAAAAGCACCACCCAGCTATATGACATCCTCTGGGAGGTTTGGACCACCAAAGGCAGAACCCAGATATGAGGGTGAGCGAAAGAATATCTCGGTTGATTCAGCGTTCAAGACGGCCAGCTCAGTGTACAAGTCTAAGACTGAGCCTCCTGATTATGCCCATGGACCCAACAAAGCCGCCGTGGACCCATTCTACAACCTGAGCCAGGGCTCTATTGAAACAGGAGCAAAGCTGAAACCGGGTAGACCACGACGTAGAGTTGCTACTGGCAATGCACAGCCCCAAGGTCCACAGCTGGGCCCTGCTTACCCTACAGCTCCGTCGATACCACAAACACGGGACACGTCGCATACTCATAGCTTCCAGCAGCCCCCGCAGCAACAATTACCACCCATATCGTCGATTCCTCATGCCTCTCAAGCTCCGACAAAAGCACGAACATGGGAAATACCACCTGCTCAAGCAGATGGGTCACGGCGGCCTCCAGTGCCACTAGCAGTAATGCCACAGATTTCCCATCCCACTACAACTCCGGCGAGATCACAAACATGGGACACGTCGTATACTCAAGCAAGTAGCTTCCAGCAGCCTCCAGTACCACGATCGGGAATGGAGTCGATTCTTAATCCCCTTACACCTCCTCCGGGAGCTCAAACATGGGCAAGGCCGGCTACTGAAGCAAGTAGCTCCCGGCGGCCTTCACGGCAACAGCCGCGTGCGCCTGTGCCACAGTACCCCCCACCTGGACAATTCGCACAGGAAACTCAACCTCCACGTGCCTTCCAGCAACCCCCACCTAGACAAGAGCTAGGTTACGCTGAAGAGTATGATCCACATCGCCGTCAAGGACATGTCCCCCATCAAGCTGCTGGCTATGGTTCACTGCAAGGCTCATATTCCTATGACACACAGCAACCTGGATATGACGCACGCGAAGCATATCCAGAACCTCCTCGTCGACGACAGACAGACCCAAGTTCGGACCCGTACGCGGCTAACCCGTACACGGCTATTACTCAGCCTCTTGAGACTCTATACATAACCCCACGTCCGATTCGAGAACCGACTTATCAGGCAACCCCGATGGGCGCTACAACCGCCAACCCATCCGGAAGGCCAAGACATAGTCCACCATCGGAGGATGATGATACACGACCGACAAGGCGACGGAACACTGGAGATAACATTGAATCCACACCTAAATCAGATAAAATGGGCTTCGGTTACATCATGGGTCCGAACAAGAAGTAGGGCCGACCTAGAAAGCAGAACGAGCAGATGAAGTTAGGCATAAATGTTGGGATTGTTTCAATAGCTGGATATTAGATCGATGGTGTGTCTTAGCATTCTTACGCGACAGGGTTGGAGCTGGCTCTGTACTCTGGAGGGGGGAAAGATGCGCTTGGGTATTTCTTGTGTTGCTTTCTTCAGTAGCAGATTTTGGTTCTGGTTCTTACTTGTGTGCTTAGTATGGTGTAACTTTATTATGACTTCAGCATAACTTAATCTGGATTTAGCGAAAGATTTCTGGCCCACCCGTACTATCCTGTTGTTCTTGCCCACCTCCACCTTTCAACATGCATCACTAACGCCTCGCAAATGCCTCGGTGACACCACATCCCCCTCAACAAGGGGCGTCTAATGACCAACACCCCCCTTCGCCCACGTCGCATCAGCATTCTCATGAATCTTCGGCACCTCAATATACTCCCTCACCCCCTTCTTCCTCTGATAATCGCTATCAAACCGCTGATCCCTCTCCTTCAACCTCTTCTCAAAATCCGGCATCTGGTCCGCTGCCGTATAACTCGTCATCAGCTGCGGAGGTCCAAGCGGCAACTTGTCACCACGGTCAGTCTGCCAGAGATGGTAGATCTTGCCGTATAGCTCGACCACTTCTTCCATCTCCTTGTTCTCGGCTACCTCCCATGCGGCTTCTGGTATGCCGGTTGGACGCGGCATGATTAGCATTCCGGACTTTACTTCGAAGACGTGGGAGTGCCAGAGCTTTTGCTCTTCGGCGTCGAGGGTTGAGTAGAGTTTGGGTGAGATCATGTACTCTGAGATTGTATTAGTATGCAGTCTTGCGATTGAGGACGCAGGATGCTTACCAATGCCGATGATCCGCGCGCCTTTCTCGGGCGAGTCGTAGAGGATGCATTGGCGTACTTCATCGTTCAGGTGCGCGCAGTAGTGGTTTGCTTCGACTGCATCGCGCTTGGGGTCGTGAGCGTATGCGTGAAAGGCGTTGAGGTGCGCGCATATCCTCTTGACTGGCGCGAAGTTCTGTACAATTGGTTAGCGTAGTCACTATACGAGCAAAGTTATGCTTACCTGAGTCATACCAGCACCAGTTTCAAGTGTGTTGTTGTATGCACTCTCAGGCTCACCGGCCGTTTTGTTGTTCACTGGAAGCGAGTCCATGTTGTGTTGTGTTCTGGATGATGTCGTTTCTGAGTGTTGACTGATGGTGCTACTGGTAAGGCCTTGGAGATATGAACTCTTTCCTTGCTTTTAATCTCAGTTGCTTGTCGAATTCGCCGATGATAATCGCCGTTTAGGAAAAGTTATCGGCGTCTCAAATGGCGAAGTTTTGAGAATGCACATGGGACCATGAACGGAGGTTGACGTCATGATGACTTTTGATTGGGTAAAACACCGAACCCTGCATCCCGAGGTCTTTTCTTGGGGAAGCAAAAGCCGACGGCCAAAGACACTGCAACCTCAACTAAGCTATTATCGGCGTCTTCTCCAAGATGATTATCTCATTAATTTTGGAAACCACAGGGAGGCCTGAACTGTCTTTGGAGCAACACAGCACTAAACGCTGCTAAAAGCGATATTTCGAGGTCTAACCGCGCACAACATGGAAAGCTCAGTACAATGCATACAACTTCTGAATGTGCGTTTCGGCTGGGGCGATGACCAAGCGTCTCCGGTATTGTCTATACTCTAGACTGCGACGGTCTTGCACATGTAACCGCAATACTGACTATATCTAAAAGACTAAGGTGTAGTCGAACCTCTTCGTTTGAACTTGCACTCAACACCAGTCTGGACGTTGAAAGAAGCATTGTGCGTCTTCCATGGCTTGTCATGTGCCATCTCAAAGTCGAACCGATGTAATACTTCGGCAGTTACTTTGTAGATCTGTGTCAAAGCGAGCTGTGCATTGTTAGTACTTTCCTACTATGTGATCACGGTGCACTCACAGGCCTTCCAACGCATGTCCTTGTTCCAGCACCCCAACCCAGAATTGTCTTGTCCATCGCCCGAGTACGATCTTCACTCTGCAGCCATCGCTCGGGAACGAAGTCTAGCGCATCTTTTCCAAATACGTCTTTGTCGTGCGAAACGATCGAAGGGTTCATTCCAACTGTGTAGCCCGCTGGGATGTACTTCCCGCACAGAGTGATTCCTTCGTTCGGAGCGTACCGAGGCATCGATACCGAGAATGGAGAGAATAATCTCAGGGCTTCCTTTACAGTCGCTACGAGGTATGGAAGAGAAGATACCTGACTGTACTGTACTGGTGATGAGAGGGCACCGTTCTCAAAGGCCGCATCAACTTCTGCGCGCGCCTTTTCCAGTTTATCGGGGTTCTTCATCAAGAAATAGAAAACGGAGCGCATTGCGATCGACGTGCTATCAGCTCCAGCCATGCTAATAACAGTCAGCATGATACTCCAGGGTAGCTGTTCTGTCAGTACACATACATTGCAACCCACATGTCCGATGTGATCTCTCTGTGCGAGTAGTTTACTTTCTCTCCCTTTTCTTGCACAATTGCCAGAAGCTGAGAAAGTAAGTCGGGTCGCTTTCCCGTCACTTCAAGGGTTCTCTCTGTAGCTGCCTTTGTCTCTATAATTGCTGTCTTCTTGATGTCCTCCACAGCCAGCACAGCCTTCAGTAAGCTCGGGATGCACACAGCGACCAAAAGCAGAAATGGTCGTATGTAGTACGGAGTGACTGTCAGAAGGGTAAGAAATGGCATTGCAAGATGGACCGAGTGGATGTAGTTGTTGTAATCGATGCTGTCCTTGAGAAAACCAAAGGCTTGACCGAAGAAGGCGACACCGACGCTGTCAAACGAGTACCTAATCCACAGGTTAGACTGTGAAATCCTTGACAACCAATTTGTAGCTCACATCTCGAGCCAAAGACCAAAGTCAAACACTTCGTTGCTGTCGGCGAAGCTACCCAACCGTTCAAGAAAGAGTTCCAAGGTCGCATCCAGATTCGGTTCGTTTTTCAGTATGCTGGAAAGCGAATAGACACCTCCAACAATCCTTCGATACGCTGCGTGCGCTTTCTCGTTGGTCTGCGTGAACAAGTCCGGCTGGCTGTTTAGTCCTGATGGTCGCCATGGATTGTACCAATCCGTCTTTTGTAGGGCCTTTTGAACCGGGTAGATGTGTGGAATGGCCGTGGTGTCGGTCGTCACTACCTCATCGGGTGCGATTCGAATGATGGGGCCATATTTCTGGTGAAGAACGCGCTCGATAATCTCAATGTCGCCTTTGTGATGGTGCCACATAAGCCATGTTCGTGATACCGATGCCCAGAATGGTCCTGGAACCTTGGCTAGTGGATGGAGGGTTCGAGTATAGATGGTCCAGACGAGATAGTATGAGACGAAAGATGTAGAAAGGTAGATCAAGAGGACAGATCGAAGATGTGCACCCAGAAAAACATCATGTAGAAGCGTCATGTTGCATATCCCGACGTTGAAGGACAGAAACACCACGCGAACGATGGTGGAGGGGACAGACGGAATTATCTTCCATCGTCGCTCATCGCTAACTGCAGCACACTGCAGCCAACCCTTTCAGGCCCCCGATAGCGAGCTACGACTCGAACAGGCCGTCCCAGTATACTGAAAGGAGAGACGATGCCGAAATGCGGGTCTCTCTACTGTGGGCACACTGCAAGTGCCGGGGCGTACCGCAGACCCTCGCGTTCTGGCCATGGTGTGCGCTTTGCACGAGTCGCAAAAGCAAACTCATGACATTCTCAGCTTCGCCAGCTGAACCAGAGTCGCCGATGAACCCCGCGAACTATTCGTTGTTCGATTTGATGTGTCCAGACTGTCCAGCATCGCTTTTTCTCATTGCCATGTGGCGGGGAGTCGGAAGGATGCTGCCGCGCTCGGAATGGCCGAATGGGGGTTGCTTTTGCAAGGGGGTCCACGGCAGCACCCCAATTGTAACACCCTGTTCATAGCAGGCTCAGCCGCCGTCCCGTGTCGCCTATCCCGCCTGCCGCCTCCAGAGTTTTGCATGACTTGTGACTTCTTCAACTTTGCTGTCGCCTATCGACGCAGCTTACTCGTGTGTCTGTTCACAGTCTCCTCACGCTCCACGAAGCGAAGCGAAGCCAGCCCTCCACACACCTACCGTCCCCCAATGCCGCCTCAATTACTCCAGAGATGCATAATCACGACGCATGAGACTATAGTCTACAAATGCGCAAGCCTAAGAGCCGCTTCTTAGCTCGCAACAACGTCTAGACTATCAATTTGACGTTGTGTGGATATCTGGACTTCCGCGGGGAGCCAATAGGATCTGAAACCGCGATGATGGATGCACAACCTTGAACGCCTCTCCATCTTTTTTCCTATGCCACCAGGAATACTATGGTAATGATGGCAACGCTGTGTAGTAGGCATTCGGGCCTTTGTACACTGGCGTAGCCACGCATTCTAAGAATTGATCGGATTACTCACAACGCGGCTTACTACATCTTCACAAAACAACTTCCGCATCGATATGTACTTCGGCGAGGACTCAATTCAGCTAGGTTTCTGATCCCATTAACCGTTTCGGTAGTCTCCGGATGCCGAGCCGCCTGGGACGGCACGTCTGTCATGCAGCCTGCTCGGTAGAGTTCGCCTCGAATCCTACGCAGGTCAAGCAGAAACAAATTCTCCTGAATATCAACTGGGATATCGAATACCGGGATGCTGGTAAGGATGTACGGAAACGTGCTGATGATACCTAAGATTCGGGATGGCATTTGGCCATGGCAGCCTCTCTTCTGCTTTTTCACCACCATCGTATGCTATATGTATCAATGATCATTGAACGAGGATCGACAGCTCGTCATATTTGTGGCTCACTTTCTTGGGTCTTTCATACTATTCAGCATGCGGTGGAACGAGATGCTCGTCATAGGGCTCACAACATTGAATAGCTTTGTGCATACAACTCTAGCACAAGATGGCTTGAACATGCTACCGCCATGCGCAGTAA